GGGCAGTGGCAGGGACAGGCAGCCGGGCAGGGGGAGGCAGGCAAGGGGTGGTGGCGATGCCGAGGTGCTGGCTGGGCACAGCATGCCAAGCTGGCTGCCAACGTGCCCTGGTGTCCCCAGGTGCCTCTGGGGGGGTCTGTGCCCTCGCCAATGTCCTGGGAGCCCCGCTGTGCCAACTGGACCACCTGTGCCGTGAGGGCCGCTGGCAGGAGGCCCGCGACCTGCAGCACCGGCTCATCGAGCCCAACATGGCGGTGAGTAGGCAGCACACCCCGGGATGCTGAGGGGTGGGGGTGCTGGGCCATGGCAGAGCCGGGGGGCAGCAGAGGATGGAGATCCCTGGGGCTGCGGGGAGTGGAGTGGTGGTCCAGAGGGGACAGGATGGCACAGCACCCGGCCGGCAAGCCAAGCCGGGCTGGAGGTGGCAGGGTGGGAAATGCCAGCCCTGCCGTGCCAGGAACAGCCTGTCCGCTGGCAGTGGGCACCTGCCTGACCCCCCGTGGGAGCCTTGCCAGCTAATTATAGGCAGTAATGGGGGGAAGAGCTGCTCCTCTCCAGGCCCCCCACCCCACTGCTGGGTGGCCTGTCCCTGCTGCAAAGAGCCCACCCTGCTACAGGGGTGCTCCCCTGCATGGCCGTGCTCTGTGCCCCCACCCCATGGTGGGCACTTCATGGGGGGGCTGCAGCCACCCCACACCCAGCTCAGCCTTGCAGCCCCGCATGAGGATGTGATGGTGAGCAAGGAGCTGGGCTGGCAGGAGCAGGGCCCACGGAGTGTGCCGCCCTGTCCCACGGGAACCGGCAAGTCCTCGCGCCCCCCCCCCCACAGGTCACCTGGGATCCCAGGGCTGAAGAAGGCCATGGAGTGGTTTGGCTACTACGGGGGTCCCTGCCGTGCACCCCTGGCCCCGTTGAGCCCCTCCCAGGTTGAGGAGCTGAGGGGCACCTTCAGTGCCAACAGCTGGTTGTGAAGGGTCCCCCCCTGCCCCTTCCCGCACCGGGCAGGCACAGGAGCCAGGGCGCCCCGGAGCTGGGGACGTGGTGGGGACACTGGGATGTGGCCAGGAGACAGCCACCCATCTCACGCTTTTCTGATGGACAGGGCTGCCCTGGGCAGAGCGGGTAGGGGGGACACCCAGCACCCCCTGGCCACCCTTGCATCCCCACCAGCCCCTGGGGTCCTGCTGTCCCCACCTGGGAAGGGATGGATCCCCGTGCTGTGAGCTGGGAATAAATCTGCTGCCCCCACTCTGTGTCTGCAGTCCTGCCCGCGCAAGCAGCCCCCCGCCCAGTCCCTGCTCCCGGCAAAAAGGACATGGCCCAGGGCATTTGGCAACGTGGTTTACTCAGCTGAGGCCCGTGCAGGCAGCAGCACAAGGCAGGGTCACGGCAAGGCACGGGCCCGGTGCAGGCAGAGACTGGCAGGGAGGGCACGGCCCCTGCAGCCCACCACTGGGCTGCGAGGGCTGCCGGGACCCCTGCGCCACGGCCAGCCAGACCACACCAGGGGTGAAGGTGAGCACGCAGGGGGGAGATGAAGGATGCATGCGGGGGGCAAGACAGGGAGCTGTGTGCCCGCTGCCCACCCTGCCTGCCCCTTTGCCATGCCCCTATCCCTGCCCGCCCTGCCCAGGCCCCCTGCCCCAGTCCTGGCACCCCACGCAGCCCTGCTCGTGCCCCTCATCCCAGGCTCCGGCTGACCCTGCTCCTTGCTTGCCATCGCTCCTGCCCTCCCCCAGCGTGCAGCAGACATGGGCCAGGCTGGGCGTCCCCCGGTCCCCCTTGGCAAGGATGCTGCTGCAGATGTCCCCAGGGCAGTGGGTGGGCTGGATTTGCAACAGGGATGAGGGGTACGCAGCCCATCGGCTGGCCCCGAGAGCAGGCCGGGTCCTTTGGGGGCACCATGTCATCCTGCCCAGGGCATGCAGAGGGGATGGCTGGTCACCCAGAGCTGAGGGCGCAGGCCACGGGGTGCCCACCCTGCCTCAGGACCAGGGTAGCAAAGCGGGCCAGGAGCTGCCCCTCTGCCGGCACGTGG